CGATCTCTCGAGTTTTATAAAACGATCTTCGGGTTTTTATAAAACGATGATCGAGTTTTATAAAACGATCACTCGAGTCTTATAAAACGATCTTCGAGTTCTTATAAAACAATCTCTCGAGATTCATAAAACTGCTGCGTTTACGCGTTTGCGGGGAATTTTGGCTATTGATTCCGTCGTACCGATTTTGACCCCAACACTTGTCTAAGCTCCTCATTGTCTAACCACCGCTTATCAAACTTAAAATTTTTCGATCTTCGTGGTCTTTTTTTAAGAATATTAGCTTGGATCGGACGATGATCCGATCCCCACATCCTCATATACTGTGTCTTCGTATGAGGAAATTTATCATGCCAATCCTCATTACCCACAGCTTTGTTCAGACGGCATCTAACTGTAGCTCTCCCTGCTCTTTTCCCAGCCCATGATAGCATGTTCCCTGTGAATTGAAACTCCAACATCCCACAATCACTTAACATTTGTCTGAAAGGCAAGAAAGAGCTGTCTGAGCGTTCACGACCCCCTTCTTTCTCTTCGTGGCATGTAATTTCATTAAAGTCACCAATCATGAACCAAGGTTCTTGTTGTTGAGAAACGCGTAAGACGTTCCCAAACTAACTCCCTACGTTCTAAAACAGGATCTCCATAAACAAACGTCATGTAAACTTTTATTCCATCAATGATTGCCTCAATGTCAATCATTCTGCTGTTTGAAAATAAAATCTTAACTTGAAAATCATCCATAAAAACGAAGCTAAACCTCCGCTGAGTCCACGTGGCTCAACGGTAAACAAACGATCAAAACCTAGGTCGGCCTGAATGTCTTGCAACAGCAGCCTCCTATTCTTCATCTCAGAAAGAAACACAAGTCCTGGGCGATGCTTCTGACACATCTCCGTAAGGCGTCGAACTGTGAGGTTGTTTCCTAGCCCTCGACAGTTCCAACTGATTGTCTTCATGGATAAAGATTGGATGGGTTTTTGGAACCCACCAAACCAGCATCCTTTCCTGAAGTTCCTGTTGTATTACTTGATCTTCTGTGTCTGTGTCTTGCCTTTTCTTTGTCTCTTGGTTGTGCCATAGAAGGAGCAATTGTTGATCTCAGCTTAAGAGAACCTCGACGAAGGAACTCTGATTTTTTCGTTTGAATACCCAACGTGGTATTAGTTCTGGATCTACTTCCTCTCTTTGATTCGGTGGGATCATGTTTTCGCTTCGTTGTACCCACTGCAGATGCTGAAATGGAAACATCTTCCAACTCCTGGAGTTCATCATCAAATAAGTCATCCTCCTGAATCTCCATATCACTTAGGGCATCAATGACCGGTTCTTGCTGATCCACGATTCGATCCTCTTGAGGAGAATACGTGAGTGATTTTGCAGCACTCCTGTTTCGGATGGTGACATTATCATCCATCGATGGGCGTCTCAAAGCAGGAGATACAATAGTGCTATCCAGTTTCTTTCGCTCCTCCGAATTTGCTCCATCCCCAACATATCGCTGATGACCTTGATCACTCACCGATACTGTCTCGCCTCCTTGCTTTGGTTGTTCATAAGGAACAACAGCATGTGCATTCCCAATCTCATTTGCACCAAGAACATAAGATCCCCTACTATTAGAAATACCGTCTGAAGTGTGGCCCTTATCTTACGATTTCTCGCGCCATATCTTATTGCTATAACGATCATATGGCTTTCCATCTCGGCGGTGTCCACCAGCATCCGTAGACCGATGTCTTCTGTTTAAGCCAACCCTCCCGCGCATGATCCTGTCAGAATGCTTAGAGCCGCGCTTATCCTCCTCATTATAACTCGACCGAGTACGGTCAGGAACCTTAGATGGATCCTCATGTCGCCATCTTGGGTCATGAAGCCGGGACTGAAGGTCATTACGTCTGATGTTATGAGATGTCTCATGCGCCATGTCTCTTTGAACCCATGTCTTATCTGGTTCAATGCTTTGTTCCCGTGACTTATGATCACGTGGGAGAGTAGGATATTGAACCCGGTTAAAGACACCTCCTTGCGCTACTTGAGGCTCTCGATTGGCTATAGTACTAGGACAATATCCTTTCTCATGGGTCATCATACCACAAGTTGTACAGTGTTTGAAGAGGAGATCGTATTCAATATCTATCGTCACTTCATCCCTTTCCCGATTTTGGACCCTTCTCTTAAACTTCAGCGGCTTGCGCGAGTCAATGTGAATGAGCAGACGACCTCCCGAGAGGTCAACAGTATCCACTAACCCGAGTCTTCCACCTATATTCTGCAGGTTCTTGTCCGTCCAAAGATGCAAAGGCATACCAATGAAAGACACCCAAAAGGGGATAACCCATGGATAATCGTCGTGTACTATGGGTTCCCATTTCACCAATACGAACATACAGAAGTTGTAATGGAATGATCCTTTTCTTAGCACAGCGTTAAGATCCTCCTCCTCAGTGAAAGTAATTAGGAACTTTCCATTGAGTTGGCATAGTTTGAAGAAGTTTCTCAACATTTTGCTTCTTAGGATTTAAAATCTTGCCAATAAGAGACAAGTTGAAATCCTTGATTAGATACGCATCGTCTTGTTCAGTGAGCTTTATGGGCTCATCATCATCTTCAAACAAAATAGCTTTTCCTTTAACATCAGCCATATGAGCCGACATAGGGCTCTTCCTTGACCCCATACACTCGTAGTGATGATACCAGAATTGAGAGAAATAGGATCAGAAACGTAAAAGGGATGACGTCCAGAAACGATGCCGTCCAGAATAACTTGTATCAACGTAAAAGCGATGACTTTCAGTGTCGATGACTTTCAATGTCGATGACTTGTATAAACGTAAACGGAATCACAGACGATGACTGAGAACCTAATGTGCAAACTGGCATTGAGAGAACGGGATCAGAACCTATTGATCAGAAGCGATGACTCCATCAATAGATCAAAAGTCCTGTGAACGTGGTCCTTGGAAGAGAAGGAAACAAAAAGACAACCAGATCACACCACCAGACGACAAAGATCAGTCTGATATCCCTGCAAAATCTAACACCGAAGAGTGATCAGATCGAGCATAGCAGGATATTGAGCGGTTTAGATCACCATCGTCTTCGTAGGGATGATCACAAAGCAACACAGAGCAGCCGTACCGAACAGAAACCAACAGCCGCACAGAACAGAAACCACTACCAGGAGAGGTGATCAGACTGTTATCCCTGCATGATCTAACACCGAGGAGTGATCAGATCGAGCGTAGGAAGAAGATTCGAAGCCTTGAGTTTTCTGTCGCCATTAGGGTCGCCGTCTTCTCTCTAGGGTTTTCTTTTTTCTCAAATTAACTTTATCTTAAAACATGTCAAAAAGGAATATTAATATAGATAATTTACTTTAATGGTAACATATGAGTTATTAGTCATTAGCATATCTAAAAAATCTTGCTAAAAATATAATTTTTATAAAGGAAATTGCACATATCATAGTTAGAATATCATAGTTAGAGTGAATGAAATGTCATATTTTTTAATGACAAATGTGTTCTTTTTTTATGTTAATAATAAATGTGGTGATGATAAATAAGCAAATCACTTGGCAAATAATGTTTAAGGAATTCTAGTTACAATTTTAATCATTTCTTTGGGGAAATAATCTTGTACGCCAAGTTTGCGTCTTGGCATAATTCTTGTAGACAGAGAGAGCCAGGAGAGAAACAAGAAACGAACCGTTGAAATAAACTCCCCAAATCCCGGAGCAACCCGGCCCCAAATAATGCTGGAGCATCCAACCAAATCCTACACCGAAACAGGCAAAATATTCAAGAATCTGACAATTTGTCACGAACATCTTCCACTTAGGAATCGATCCGACGGCGCGGAGGAAGAAGTAACCGTAACAGATGACGTGGAGAGTGGAGTTTAACACGATCCCAGCAGGAAACATAGATTGGCGGGTGTAGAGCCAGATGTAAGCCATGACCACTGCCGTCGCGTGGTGGTAAACGTGGTAAAACGAAAGCAAATTTATTGATTTAGAGACAATCATGACAAGTGTGTCTAAGAAGTGGAGGATCTTCAAGAGGTAGTAGACTTGAGCCCAGAAGAAAACCGGTCCGCTAGGTTTCACGTCGACAGGGAAACATATCATGTGCCTCCTCGGGTATTTAGACGAGGTTATGGAGAGAATGCAACCTACGGCCAAGATCATGGAGAGGAGGCAGAGGACGAAAGTGTGGACGACTCTGATTGCTTTGACGATACGGGGACCGAGTGAGGGGAGTGAGTCCATGGCGTACCAGAGGAGGAACGTGGCGGAGAGGAAAACCGAGACTACGACGGAGACAAAGAAGACGGTGGACCCTAAGGTTTCACCTTCTGTCCACGTGAAGTTGGCGATGTAGGGGTGGTGCACGAACCAATAGGTTAGGGTGGAGTAAACCGATGATGCCATTTCTCCGACCAAGTTACTCTGCAGGAATTGAATTCCAGGATATGTATTTAAATGTACACATTAATGGAATACACCGATGTTGATGCCATTGTAATTGTTTTGGAACATGGAGTACACCGATGATGCCATGGTGTCGTGAATACTTATGCTTCTGCGTCTCGGTTATCACGGCGCTGATATGGGACAGAGACGTGAAGCTTAGGCAAGCTTATCTTTATTCAAAGGGATATTCATTGCGGGGTTTTTATGCATAACGTACAAAACAATATCGTCAAAAAATGCATACTAAAGTTTATTTATTGTAACAACGTGAGAGGTTAATACCTTAAACATCCATTTGTCAGTGTTGTTTGCAGCAAAATGAACTTGATATTTTCAGAAGTCAAGTGTATTCCAACAACTCTAAACATGGGTTAGGTGAAGAAGATGTTAGATGCATTATGCACATACGTCAACAGACACCAGCAACTCTGGTTTTGAGCCACACCAAGCTTCTCATAGACAAGCACTCGGAAATTCTGACGACTTTCTAACAGATTCCTAGTAATGTATTCCCGACAAATTACCATAGAATAATGCCGTGAGAAAGTTTGTCGGTACTTTTTCGGAAGATATTTCTGACAAACTATTACTTCGTCAGAAATAAAGTTCGAGAACTTAAAAGTTAGTCAAAAATTTATTCCTGAGAAAAATCTTTGTCGAAAATAGCTTCTGACAACTTGGTAGTCATCAGAAAATATTCCGAACAAAATTATTTTGCCGGGAAATTCCGACAAAAACAGTTAGTCCAAAATTTCCGATGGATAACATCATCAAATTTTTTCGATTGAATATGTTCATCGGAAAAGTTTATATATATATATTGATTATTTTTAGAAAAAATTATATATTAATATTTAAAATTATTAATAAAATTTTAAAAATGAAATTCAAAGCACATATCATAAATGCGAAAACTAGAAATAAAAGTTTTATAAAATTATAAAAATCTAAAAGTTATTTAAAAAAAACTAAAATTCAGCATAACCATTTCTTAGTAAAAGTTTATTTTCTAATGAACACATCCTATTCGTTGGAAGTTTTTCATAAATATGGATTATTTTTCAAATTGACTAATTTTTGAAATAAGAATACACTCCTTTCTTCAGAATTTTATCAAAGTTTCAGATGAATTTCGGATGATAATGATATATTCTTTGTATGTTTTTAGTTGTTCAGGTTAGTTAAAAACTAAATTTGTCATAAATTTGTTGGAAAATCGTGAAATTTTGTTTGGGAGTTTTGAGAACATGAAAAAATAGACACGCAATATTCTTTCTCATGTTTGAAAAAGTTTAAAACAGTTGAATAGTTACGATAAAAACATGAAATAAAGATAAGATAAGTTAGTCAATTCACTTATTAGAAAGTGTAGTCTTCAAAAGTTTAAATAACTATGTAATTATTAAATAAAATCTTATTATGATGTATTTATCCAAATTTTCCCTTATTTTCATATTGCCCTAAAGTTGTTATTAGTCATTTTGATTTGATGCTAATTCAAAAAATTTACATTTTGGCATTTCAAATATCTAGAGTTTCTAGTTATTATGGAATTTTCATCTAGATACAAAAACGAAATGTTGATGTAATAGTTTATAAATAAACAACTAGATTCTGACCGCACGTTCGTGCAAGTGTTTAAAAAAAAATTATATTGTTAAAAAATTTCATACATGATTGAATGTATACATTTTTATGCTTACAATATTTAATATAGTTTTATAGTCTATATGCATCAATTTTATTAATCGTTTTTAAATTATCATTTTTCGTTGTATATATACATATATACATATATATATATATATATATATATATCTTATGGGTTAAAATTTAAATATATATATATATATATATATTATATATATATATATATGAATTTTTTAATCTCCCACACACTTTCTCTCTTATGAATTTCAAGAAAGGACACTTGCTATTTGTTAGGCACTTGTTGCCTATCTAAATACCACAATACCCTCATTTTAACTAAACCATCTATTAACTAAACCCAAGGTGACTAACTTTGATTCCATTTTTTTAATTCAAAACAATTCCCACCCAAAAACAAATAAACAAGTCGACTTCGGCTATTTACTTTTATTTTTACGTTTCGCTTTTCGCTTTCCCTTTCCCGTGACAGTTTTTTTTAACTAGATTTCGAAGTCGAAGAAGAACTCCGAGATAGTTAAAAATGGTGAAATCAAAGCTGAAGAAGAAGAAACCTGCTCCGTCTCACAAACCAGACCCACTGTGAAACGCCAGAGGTAACCTTTACCACTCCGACCCCAGTTTCAATTTAAATTACAGATCTCTTATAGTGAATATAGAGTTCGTCGTTTAGATTTGTAGTTCTTCCAAAGTATCAATTTCTCGACGAAATCAGCAACCATTGTCCATCTTATATGAATTTCCCTCACAAATTTATCTCCTTCATTGACATAATTCTCACTGTTTCGGTTAATTTCATTTTGCATGTGGTTATTTTAGGTTCACCGGGACCGGATCTACGCCTACCGCTGAGATTATTATGCTGCCTGCCTATTATGCTGCACACACCATCGATGCCTAGATGATAACACCTATCCCCATCCCTTCTTTTGTGTAATATTTTGGAGGATGTGACTTTCCCTTTCTTGTATGCTTTTGATGCGCTGCTTGCCAATGGCAAAAACTATACGCTTGATTTCTATTTCAATGCACCTTGCAGACTAGTAAATCTTCCTTTTTAGTAATTATGTCTGTACTTTTTTAGCGTTTGAGTTGGTTGTTTCTTATATTATATGGACATAAATCTTATGTCCACATACCTTCTGTCCATATCCACGCTACACCCCAGAGCTTTTACTGTTATTTTTAAATATTTTGTTAATGTCGGAACTCAAATCAAACTTCGTTTCCATTTAGTATCCTTCCTCACTAAATATTCCTTTTTAGTAATTGTGTCTGTACTTTTTTAGCGTTTGAGTTGGTTGTTTCTTTTATTACATGGACATAAATCTTCTGTCCACATACCTTTGGTCCATATCCACGCTACACCCCAGAGCTTTTACTGTTATTTTAAAGATTTTGTTAATGTCGGAACTCAAACCAAACTTCATTTCCATTGAGTTGGTTGTTTCTTATATTATATAGATATAAATAATTTGTCCATATCCACGCTACACCCAGAGCTTTTACTGTTATTTTAAAATATTTTGTTAATGTCGAAACTCAAACCAAACTTTGTTTCCATTTAGTATCCTCTCCCAAGCTGCGGGAGATTCAAGTCATGTTCTCGATTTCCAATTTCAGAGATTCAACTTAAATACAAAAAAAAACACACACCTTTCTCCCCTCCAAGCTGCGGCTACTCCTCCTTGCCTGAAACACAGAAACTTAACATTTATTATGAAATATACAATTTCAAAAATTAGACCACCCTCACCGTGGGATCTCTGTTCATCCAACGGCTCAAAGGTGTCCCTCTATCCTAGACACCAACCTTAATAACTCCTCTAAGGAAACATATCTGGTCCCCACAATAGAAGACAAAATTTTAATATAAAAAATTGAAATCATCCTCGCCTCACCCTAACCCAACGTAAGGGGCTCTTATGCAATCAGTCTTGGAGAGAGAGAGGACAAAGTGCCCCTAAAGCAAGATGTGTCTAAACATGATAAAAAGGAGGCACAAGTGCCTTAATAGGTAACTCACTCATATATATAACAATGAAGGTGAATTATCATTTAATTTGTGTTTATATATTATTTCTTTTATTATAATATTATAATAATCTATTATTTGTTGAATATATTTTTAATTTTTAATAGTAAACAAATAGGTAGATATTTTTATTATAAATTTATACATATTTGTTATACATATTTCTGAATGTAAGGAATATATATATATATATATATATATATATATATATATATATTTGAAGTTATTAATAAACATTAATTTTAGTTTAAATAGCTTAACTTAATTGTAATTAACTTTTTAGATATGTATTTATTAAAAGCTGACAATGAGAATTGCGCTATTAAAAAAAAGTCTAGGTTGGTGAAATGTTGGTTTTATTAAGGTATAGTTGAATTTCAATAAATAATAAATAACTTTAATGGCATAAGAATATAATTATTGAAAAAAATTAAGGGGTATTTTAAATTTGTATTTAAGTTTTAATATTTAGATATATGAGCATTTGCATCCGCATGCAACATCCAACATAAAAACAAAACAAGCCCTGATGCCATAAAAACAAATAAACAAAGCCTTTTTACTTGTTTGGCTTAGAACTTGGTTCGATTTGGTTTTTAAAACCAGACCAACCCCAATTATACAACAAAACCCTACAACCCTAGATTTTCTTTTACGTGTTAGTTTTCTTAGTTTCTCCTCAGCCTTGTCGGGGACTCTAGGATTTCGAGGGTTTGGGGAAAAAGATGGATAGGATCAGCTATTTACCTGATGAAATTGTTTGTCAGATTCTATCTTATCTTCCAACAAAGGAAGCTGCATTAAGCTCTGTTCTCTCAAAGAGATGGAGAAATATGTTTGCCATGAGTCCGAATCTTCATCTTAGTTTCGTTGAATATGTGTTTTGGAATCCCAAAGTTAACATGAGTTTCATAGACTTTGTAGACAGAGTATTGGCTGTGTCAAGTGATTGTACCATTAGGAGATTCTCTATGAAAATCCGACGGAGTGTTGAACCAGCTCATATCAATCGTTGGATGATTAATGTGCTGAGCCGTGGTATCTTGGATCTTGATCTGGACACACTCACTAAAGATATGATTACAATGCCTTTAGAGATATTCACTTGCAAGACAATTGTTAAACTAAGATTAGGAAGCCTCGTTCAATTTGCTAGGGTTCCTGAGAATGCTTCTCTTCCTTGTCTTAAGACTCTGTATCTTTTTTGTGTTTGGTTCTCTGGTTGCGAGTTTGAAGCTCTTCTTTCTGCTTGCCCTGTGCTTGAGGACTTAACCGTACTTGGTTTGCCTTGGGATTTTAAACAGTGTCTAAATATTTCGTGTACTACTCTTGAGAGACTCACTCTTTCATGTAAAAGTATTATCGCATTTAGTGTTCCTTGGAGCTTTTCTTTTGATACTCCAAGACTAGCCTACTTAAATTACCGTGGTTATATTGGA